CTTACAGGAACAAGGTAAATATTATATATCTATATCTATATCTATCTATCTATCTATCTATCTATCTATCTATCTATCTATATATCTGTGTCCCTCAGGGATGTAAGGTAAGTGATGCTTTTTATGAACAGGCAAGTATATCCCATATCAGATATATTTACCTAAATTTTCATATTTGACTAAGCACTTCTATCACAAAGTGTTTCTTCTAGTAGTATTCAAATCAGTAGTTAGAAAGATCACACATTTTTTTTAGACATCCTGGTCTCAGTGAAGCAGCACAATGGGCTAGTTTTGAATCTTGGTTTCTGTACTTACCAGCTCTGACTTGGAAAAATTATTTATTTGTCTGGACTTGGCTTTCCCTATTGGCAGTAAGACCAGTATGCACACACTTCTGGTGTCCAGCCCAGATCCTGGTTGCACAGTGAGCATCTGTGGGGTCCTGGCACCAGCCTCCCAGCTAGTGAGAGCCCATTCTACATGTCTTCCCAGCTTTGTGTGTCTTAACATCACGCCAGCCGTGGTGGGAGTGTTTGCACCACATAAATTGGCAGATACTGTAAGTCAGGGCCTCTTTTTCCAGGAGAACCAGTCTTTAAACATTTCCTAGTTCCTCACAGATGGGTATTCAATCACTATAAATTTCCACACCCTAGGCTTTCCTGTAATCTGAATTTCTCTTTTTGCCCTACTGTAATCTAGCCAACCTCAGAATCCAGTTGATTCCAACACACACTGCTGAACTCTACCCCTGGAGTTTCTGATTTAACCCATTTAGGGTGAAGCTGGAGAATTTCTAGTGCTGATACTGCCAGTCTGGGCACCAAACTTGGAGACATTGACCTAATCTGTCTAATAAACTAACTCTGTGGGAGGACACAGAAGAGCTTGCCCCTTCTGTCCAAGCAGTAGCACTGTGGTGAGTACTGACATAGCACCTGGCCCAGATGCCGTCTCATTTAATCATCTTAATAACTCTCTGGCAGTAGTTACTGTTTTATTCCCTATATTATAGATGGGGGAAACTGAAGCTTTGGGGGAGTCATTAACTTAATATCACACATCCTAAGCAGAAAAGCAAGGTGAAACCCAAATCCTCCAACTCCAGGGCCATCACTTGAGCGGCACAGGTTGTCCAGAACTCAAGGGCTAGTAGAGGCTGAAATCCTGAGCTCTGCAGTCCTAGCTGTGCACTGGTGGGACCACATCAGCCTAGAGTGGTACTTTTATTCTTCACTTGCATTAAGGTACTATAGGGGTTAGTAGAGACCCTTTCCAAATGCTTACTTTCTCTCTCTCTCTGCCCTTCACTGCAGCCCCTGGGGCCTCTAACCTGGTCCAAAGGCAGAGCAAGTGGGAGACAGTAACGGAGAGCACCAAGCAGAGACATTATTTGAAGTGACCTCGAGCCAGAACATGTGGGCCTGCGGAAGCAGCTTACAAAACAGCTGTTCCTAGAGGAGGTTTGGGGGCAGGTGTCAGTAGGCTGAAGCAAAAGAATTTGGCTGTAGGCAAAGGCACAGATTGTCAGTGATGAGAGAGCTATATCTCCTGCCCACCCCTGGCATATGTGTGGCATCGAAGGTGCCCAGTGGGTGGGGCAATTAACCCATATCCCAGGGCGCCTGGCTCTGCCTCTCCCCTTCCTTTCCCACTGCCTCTTTGCAATTAGATTGCTCTGGGTAATCACTGCCAAACCACTTTGTTGGATCTGATGAGTTTATTAATTTCTTTGGGGCTAATAGGAGGATGGGTGGGAGATTCATTTCCCAACTGGAGCATGGGGGCTTATTAGCCTCTTTGCCAGGTCCCCAGAGGTGATGAGTGGGAGAGTGCACTGCTCAAGCTGTTGGATCTGGCTCTGGATAAATCATCCCTGTCCTTGGCTTTCACAGGGGACCAGGCTCATGGTGTGAGTGAGGCAAGAGAGCCTGGGGCTCGGACTCTTACAGCAGTGGTTAGTGAGCATTGGCTCTTTTGAGAGTAGAGGGGGTGGGAAAGTGGACAGGGAGATCTGAGGTCTCACTGGCCCTGTTGGTGTAAAGTGTAGGTTTAGGGTGATACATAGGATTCTAAAAAATTCAATCCTATACAAAATATTCAAATGCTGACATCTAGCCCAATTTCTTTTTATATCCCTTCTGTTCAAATATAGCCTTTCCCAGCCTAGGAGATCATCAGGAGCCAATTCCACTCATTTTGAAGGCAGGGAAATTGAGCTCCTTGAGACAAATTCCACCTGGTTCTGTGGAGTACCAAGACCGAGGAGAAAAAGCTGTGTATCTGGAGTTCTTGCTGTATGACTGAGGCCCAGGGAAGCCAGGTCCTGTTTAGCATGTCTGGGTGAAGGGTGCATTAGCCTCTCCACCCTAAGAGACAGTGGCAGAAACAGAAAAGATCATGGATTTAGGAAACAAACAGATCTGGCCTTAAGCCTGTGCTACATCTACCAGATGTGTGACCATAGGCAAGCCATTAAAACTGTCTGAGCCCCAGTTTCTTCAGAAATAAAAGAGAAACCTAGTAACTACTCCAGAGGGTCATGGGAGAATTCAAAGAGGTGACAGAACTTTGAATCTAACACAACAGATGTCAGTAACTATTAGCCTTTCCCTCTTCATTTGGAAATCTAGAAGCATATCTTTCATCCTCCATTCCTTGCCGCTGCAGAGAGAGCCAGAAGGGGAAGGTCAGGCAATGGAATGGCCTGGTTGGTCCCTTTGAGAGACATTAGGTGCTCCAGAGGGCAGAAGGAGTTCACCCACCTTCTTCCCATGCCTGGCCAATAATAAAACTCTGCCAACAGCAGACAATTGCTTTCCATGCTTCCAAGTCCAGTCTGAGCATAAATAAGGCTGGCCTTTTTTTGCCATGAGACACACTGGCTACTGGGAAAAAGTGGGGAAATGAAAACAAATGTGCAGAGAACATTGGAAGGCTCAGACAGGATGGCCATGTTGGCTTCCTTTGAAAGACTTATCTGGGGTCAAGAGCACAGGGCTTCAAGCTCAGGGTTCTTCAATTTGAGTGGGCTGTCTTATTTGGGTCTCAGTTTCTTGATCTGTAAAAGGGGCTTGCTGCTTGGATAAGCATGATGCACTACTTCCAACCTCAAAAGCAACATGAGCATGTGCTTCTTTCTGCAGAGGTAGAGACAGCTGCTCCCTCTTCCCAGTGGCTTCCTCACAAAGGCACAGAGAGCAGTGTTTGGTCATCTCGCCTTTGACAGCTGAAAGTCCCCCTAATCCCTGAGGCCCCTAATGGAACTGGAGACCCACAAGGGCTTACTTGACAGTACAGGTGGTCCTGGGTTGGCCCTGCCCTCTACCTTCTCCAGACCATGAATCCAGGAAGCTGGCTCCCCCTCACTGGGACCCTGGGCTCTTTTGCCCCATGGTGCAGGGGTGAGAGCCAATGGTGAGCCTCATCTTTACTGTTGTTGGAACACCCAGGAGAGAACCTAGAGCCCTGTTCTAGGAAACAGGCACGTGGCACCCATGGAGCTCAAAGTTTTCCAGGGAAGCTGCTGCTGGTTCCTGGAGATGCCTGGGAGAGATGCCTGTGTGCATCTCATTGGGTTTGCAGCCAGCTGTCAGCTGTCCCTGGCTGCCCACCTCAGACACTTAGCAACAGAAACCATTTGTTGAGTCCAGCTAGCAGAACTATATCAGAATTTTATATATCTATACTATATATAGTTTACTTATCTATGCATTATGTATTTCTATATTATTTACATATAACATACATTTGTATAATGTATATTTAGATATATTATACAAAGGATTCCACTAGGGAAAATGAGCTTACAGTCCACTACTGTTGAATTTAGGCTTAGGTAACTTCCTGGGTGAGGAACTAAGTTTTGGAGTTTTGACCAAGATGGTCTTTAAGACAATGGGATAGTCAACAGGAATATATATTGTACACTTAAAAAATTCATTGAGAGGCTAGATCTCATGTTGTGTTTTTACCACAACAAAATAAAAAATGAAACAAAAGCCAATAAAAGGAAAATGAAACAATAGGGAAGTGAGAAGAAAATAACATCTATTGAATGCCAGGTTAAATACATCCTCACAATGACCCAAAGAAGTTTCTATTATTGTTCCCACTTTGCAGATGAGGAAGCAGACCCTGTGGGTTTAGAGACTCTCTTGAGTTCCACAGTGACTCTATGCACCCAGGTCTGGTGGATACTATAGTGTCAGACTGGCCATCTGTGATGCCACTTGGCTATGAGAGAAGGTGGGGAAATGTTACCATCCCCTTTTACAGATGAGACTGGAGGACTTAGGTACCTCTGTAAATTATCAGAGCAAGCAAGTGTATCAACCAGAAGTAAGACCTGGACCTTACCTCTTCTGGTTCATTCATTCATTCGTTCATTATGTTTAACCATTCAGCAAACACTTATTCTTTTTAAAATTTGTTATTAGTACCTGTTTGCCTTACATAATGATCACATTCACTGTAGAGAGTTGGTGCATGTACATGACAATCCTAATTCTTTTTTACCCTCTCCTTCTCTACCTTCCATCTCTTGGTCTCCTTAGGCTTTATTAAAAGCCTAGTATATGCCAGTTCCCCTCAATATACCATTCTGATTCTCACTTAGATGATGAGGATTACTGAAGGCAAACCAAAGCACAAGAGTGCTATGCGCATCCCTGCCTGAAAATAATGTGATTTCCCATATCCATTCCCTTCTGGGCAAGACAGCTTTCATGAACCACATACCATTACTGATTTATTTTTCCATTTTTCTCTCCCAAGTCTTCACTCCTTCTATCCCATACCCTAACAGTCCCTTTTCCCTGAAGCCTCTAACCCTGCATAACAGTCCCCTGCCCTTTCGGCCCCTCCTTCCTGTAGCTTCTGTGAAGCCTAGCAGGGGCAGGGCTCTGGCCTCTGGGCTCCTGCAACTCGGGGAAGCGCTCACAGCTGTGCAGGCTCCTTCCTGTGTCTTCCCAATCCTCTCCTGTTGGTCTCCTCAGATTGGCCAGTGGCACGTGGCAGAGGGCCTCAGCATGGACAGCCGCCTCTACGCCTCAAACATCTCTGACAGCCTCTTCAATACCACCCTAGTCGTCACCACCATCCTGGTAAGCGGGGTCTCCCAAGCCCAGCTGCAGCTCCTCAGGGTGCCTCCCGGAGTGCTAAGAGCTTGAAGGCTTCCCAGGGAACAGAATATGGGAGCGCTAATCACAGCACAGAGGCCAATTTATGACAGTGTAATTATACTCAAGTTGCTGTTTCATATGGAAATGATATTTGATGAACTCCCAGGCAGCTGAGGAAGAGGGATGGCATGGGAAGAGTCCACAGTGGATGCCTCTTTCAGGGGTTCCCTGATGGCCAGGGGACCTTCCCATATAGGTGGGGGTGCTGGATCCAATCCTCTAAGGGGCCCCCTCTCCTAGCAACCCACCTTGCTAGGAGCTTGCTGTATACAAAACAAGGCCCTCCATCCCCCAAGCGGACACTTCAATGTCTGTGGGTTTTAATGGCCTCTTTTCACTTCCAGATGGTGCAAAGAGAGTTCTCAATGAATCCTAGGGCAAAAGACCATCTGCCTTTTTATTTGATTCAGTTCTCTTCAATAATTACCAAGTTGAACCCTCACCCCTGCCCCAGGCCATGTGCCCGGTGTGATGCTTAGTCACAGAAACCAAAGATTAATAAGACCCAGTCTCTATCCTCCAAGAAGTTATAATTTAGCAGATGATATAAGTGAAGTGCATACGCAGCCAATGTATTATTTGTCTTCCCCCCTCTGAAGACCTAATGTTTTAAAAGATTTGTCAATTAAATCAACTGCATGTGTTAAGCAATAATAATTAATTTTCTCCTCCCCCTCCCCTTTTTAACTACTCAAAAGTGTATTTCCCTGCCTGACACCGCTTCTTGTCAGCAGGAGATAACCAGTGTTGTCAGAGTATTTCAACCCAAAGCAGAGACACTGTATGGTAAAGCACACTCAGCCTTATCCCTGCTAAATGTGCAAGGTCTGCACACGTGTACATTTCTTTTAAGCTATTTGAGATAATAATAAAAAAAAAGCTCAGGGACCTCTATCATGACCTTCGGCAAGTCCTGGGGCACAGGAACCCTGGGCTGGAATTATTGATCAACTGTAAACAGTGGGATAAAAGCCAGGAGAGAGACACAAAGGTAGAGCTGTAGGGTATAGAGGAGAGAGAGGTTCCATCCCACACAGAGGTCAGCAGCACCTTAAGAAGAAACACTTAAGACTGACTCAGAAAGACAGGAGCAATTGGAGAGGTGAAAATGAATGAAGGAGAGTATTGTTAGGTGTTTAGGAAATGCTGAAAAGCATAAGCTTTCCCCAGAAATAGGCAATAGTAGAAAAAGGGAGAAGCATAAGCCAAAAAAGTGGATCCATAGTGCTCAGGAATTTGAATGCCATTCATTTGGTAGGCAATGAGTCACTGAATATTTTCATTTATTCATCCAATGAATATTTATTGGGTGCTGCTCCATGCTTGGCACCATTATAGGCGCTCTAGATATATCAATGAACCAAACACAAAAATCCCTGCCTGTAGGAGATTCCATTCCAGTAGGGGATATGAAAGAGATAATAAAAAATCAATACAGGTTGAATCTCCCTTATCCAACAGGCTTGAGACCAAAAGTGTTTCAGATTGTATATTTTTTCAGGTTTTGGAATATTTTTTTCAAAACTACCAGTTTAGCATCCCTGATTCAAAAATCCAAAATCCGAAACACATAACCGCATCATGTCAGCACTCAAAATGTTTCCAGTTTTGGAGTATTTCAGTCTTTGGAGTTTTTCATTTAAGGATGCTTGATAAATTAGAAGGTGGTGAAGCTGAGGGACAAAAGATAGAGCTGGGAGCTGGGGAAGTGGGATTGGGGTGCTGAGAGAGAAAGCGACATTAATACCCAGGTAGTCAGGTGAGATCTGCAGAGACCTGATGCAGGTGAGAAGCTTCCTGGGGAGGAGGTTCTGGCAGAAGGAGCAGTTGGAGTGAAGGACACAGAGAGCACAGTTTCAGCTCTCCATCCCAGTTCCAGTTTCTCTGCACAGTGAGAAATTCCAGGAAGATTAGAGGGTGGTGCTGTCCCTGTTCCAGCTGAGAGCAGGAGACAGTCTGGCTAGGATGAGCTGGGGAAGGGCACAGTGTGACTGCTAGGATGTCCTTCCTGCTGGCTTTTTGACCCCTGGAAAACTTCTGAAGTCTATTCCTTCCTATTCATTCACAGCCTATACCCCAATCCAGAAAACAGGCCCATCTGGCTCTTGTCCTCAGTTGTTCTGTGTTCTCCTCACAGCTTCCTTCTTGCTTGCTCTGTCTATCTGCCCTTCTCCTCAGCTAAAATCAGAATTGTCCTGTGATTTCCTTCCTACTCCCCATCATCAGGACTATCCCACCTTACCTGCTCACTCTGCATGTGCCTTATGGTCTGTGTCGTGCCTCTCCTACCTTTGTATGTACTGTTCCCTTCACCTGGAATGCTCCTCCCTGAATTCCTGTCTCCTGCTAGAGAGGAGAAAGATACTACACACTCTCAAAACTCTGTTCAGACATCACCTCTTCCATGGAGTCTTCCCTTGTCAGATTCCTGTGTTCTTCATCTATAGCCTTTCTACACCCCTCTAATGTGGCACATCTTCTCTGAGAGGTGGTAGTTTGAATCTCCCCTTCTATAACAAGAGCTTCTCCAAGATTCAGGTGCCAGACACAAGTAGGAGCTCAGTAATTAGAAATTTGAATTTTTTCCCGGAGGACTTGGGAGAGTAATTTTAAGTAATGTCTTAAAAGTCAAGAAGATTTAATTCTTTGGGGAAGATACCCAGCAGGGGAATAGCTGGGTCAAATGGGACTTCCCATCCTAGTTCTTTGAGGTATCTCCATACTGATTTCCACAGTGGTTGCACCAGTCTACACTCCCACCAGCAGTGGAGCAGGGTTCCTCTTTCCCCACAGCCCCGCCAGCATTGGTTATTGGTTGATTTCATGATAGCCATTCTTTCTGGGGTGAGATGGAATCTCAGCATTGTTTTCATTTGGATCCCTCGAATGACCAGTGACCAGTGATGTTGAACATTTTTTCATGTATTTATTTGCTATTTCTACTTCTTTGTCTGAGAAATGTCTGTTCATTTCAGATGCCCATTTTTGGATTGGGTCTTTAAATTGGAGGTGTGATTTTTTAAAGTTCTTTATAGATTCTAGATAGTAGACCTTCGTCTGAGGGACAGCTGGTGAAAATTTTTTCCCACATTGTGGGTTGCCTCTTCATACTATGTACCAATAAAATTAATTTTTAAAAAAGTCAAGAAGATTTGAGGAGGGAGATGAGGGGCTTGCTGAGTTGTACTTCCTGCCTCTCAGGGTCTGGAATCTGACTGTGTTTGGAGCTTCCATACAGGTCCACTACAGCTACACCAAGAGCACTAGGCCCTGTTTCCAGACTAGGAGTCACTCTGATCTGCATGTGTGTACCTGTGTGCTCACACACCCACATGTGAGTGCATGAAGGGCAGGACCCTGGCAGGATACTCTTGTATGCAGTGCTATTTAACAAAACAGTAAGCAAAACTCAAAGCAAGATCAGCATAGGCTCTTTCCTTGTGCATGTGTGTCTACGGTCAGAGACAGCCAACGGGAATCAGTAACTCTTACCGGGAATGATGATCTTAACTCAGCCCCTAGGTGACCATTTGTGGGTTTTCCCTTGTAAATGGTAATCCTGAATGATTTATCCTTTAAACCTCAGTACATATCTGTTTTGTCTCTTACTCCTGTCACAGTACACTTGGGACATGTGAATGATTTATTGGTTAATACCACCAAACATGTGGATGAGTCTCAGCTCTCATTCCCTACATACCTTGTCTGTGCCAGGACCCACATCAAATATACTGACTCATTGTCACCAGAGGCTCTCCCTACCCCCTGTCAGCACAGGACAGCAGTCAGCCCCCCATATTTCCCAAAGTCCCAGTGAGCCCCAGTCTTAAAGATTTTGGCTTTCCAACATGTCTCCTCCCTCCAAGATTAGTCTTGTGGATATTTACTTTGAATGTGTCAGTGAATTTTAAATTAACTCAAGAGTAGAGAGCATTTAGGGAGGAAAGTTCTGTGACATTCCTTAGGATAATTAAAGATACCTTGGTCCTGGATGGGAACCGTCAGCCATGGCTTGTCCATGGCATTATTTTGGCTCTTTTCAGCCACACAATCCACAAGCACTTACCACTGGAGCTGGGTAGGGAGACCAACAGTGGGGGAGGGTTAGTCCCAGGTCCTACTCACACTGTACCTGGGAGCTGCACTCATGTGCAGAAGGGAAGACACTGGAGGATAATCAGTGACCCCTGGCCATGAGCACAGGGACATTCCAAGCAGCAAGTTGGCATGGGAGGAGGCAAGATGACTTCAAGGACAGTTGTGGGTTAGGTTAGATAAACGATGGAGAGGGAAGAGAGAAGCCCTCGAGCCAAGGGTAGCATGTATGGAAGGCAGGGAAAGTGGCCACCATCTCATTGCTGTCACAATGGCCCTGATCACAAGTCAAAGTTATGTCACCTTCAGCTCAGAGCTTGAGCACTGTGAAATGTAGCTGGTTACTTACCACTTACCACTTCATCACACTTACAAAACTGCTCTCGCCATCCTTCCCCATGACCTCTGGTCTGTCTGGCCCTAACGTTCCACTCTACCTTCCTCCCAAGACAGAAGCCCTAATCCAGCTCAAACTCAGCAACTCAGCATTTATTAAGCAGATTAGCTTCTAGAATCATCTCCACCATGATGATGCTAAGCCATCTCCCCTCATGCCTGTCCCCAGTCCGGATCCCTGCTGTGATCTCTACCCCCTACTGCCAGCCTGCATTTGTCCTGACTTCAGATGAGCCTTGACAGTCACCTGTGCTCACCTCTGCTCACCTCTGCTCTCTCCCTCTTTTCCGCTGTGCAGTTCTGCCAGACCTTCTCACACACCAAGCCTTCAGTCTTGCCTACCTGCCCCGCCTTTGGTACCACCTTGAGGGCTGGTGTGGATTCACCTCCTCTCTGTGTCACCTGTGTCCATACTCTGCACCTTACCCCCAGATCCCTTCCCAGCCTCACACACCCTGGGCTCTGTGTCCATCACCATTTCCTTGCTCCCCTCACCACCCTCTCTTTCTGCCTTCTCTAACCTCTCCTTTTGCAGGGATTCCTTGCTGCCTAGATGCAGATATACTCCACTATCTCCCCTCCTAAACAGCATCACTGCCACACCACCTACCCCCTGCTGCCCTTCAGTTATGCTCCATTTGAGGGAATCATAGAAGCAGGTCCAGGAACACCTATGGGGACCCTCCTATCCTGTTTGTGGAAGGGCTCTGCAGCTCAGCACCAGGGGAGGCCTGGCTTAGAGGAGTTGGGCTGAGAGGGATCTGCCCTTTTCTGTGTGCCAAGCTCCCTCCATCTCCCAGCTTCTCCAGATGCTGTTCCTTGTGCTCCTGCATGTTCTTGTCATCCTTGTAGAGTCCAGCCCCATACCCCTGCGGCATCTGCCCTCAGAAGATTGCATGACCCATGATCCAGCTGCCCTCTCACAGCCCTGCTTGGTCTCTGTGGGCTACTTTCTCCTTCTTCAAACTCCTTTCCCCTTGACTTTCCTGGCCACACATTCCTGAGTATCCATGGATAGATACTCTTCACTTTTCTGCTTTCAAAGATCAGGTTCCCCCCACAGACTTCTTTCCTGTCTCAATTCTTACCCCCCAGTGATGTCACACATTGTACACCTCCTTCCTTCACCTCTGTACAGAGGCCTCCCAGACTCTGTCCCCCTTTTAACTTTACCTCACATGTTAAACACCCCGCCAGTGATCTCCTCCTCCAGGATAGCTTGCTACCATGCCAAATCCAACATGTTCCAAATCTTCTTCCCTTTCAAGCCACCCATGACAAGATGATGCCATTCTCAGTCATCTACCCAAGTGCCAAGGGTCTGGGGCTCCGTCCTCTGCACCCAACACTCAGCTAGTCATCAAGCCGGCTTTCCCTGTGTCTCTTACATCCTTCCAGCTCTCTCCAGTCTAGGCTGAGCAGCTTAGCACTCAGTGCCACACACCAAGAGAAGACCCAGCCTAGTCCCCATGCTCCCTCTCTTCCTACTTGACCCAAGATGCTCTGTCTTGTGTAATTTGCTGTTACTTCATCCTGGCACTAAGACCTATGTGGAGCCTAATTCATCATTCTAAATTTCTCCTCCCTCACCATCCATTCTCCAACTAAAGTGGAGGATCTAAGAAGGGCTGTGAGTGGGCCACACTCCTTCTCTCCTGGGATTATGCCCCAGTCATGCCTTTCTCCTGCCCCTAATGCTCTTCATTCCTGCCCCTTCCACCTGTCAGTGTCTTGCTGTCCTCCAGAGCCTAGTGTGGATCCCACCTCCTGTTTAGCCTTCTCTGGAAAGCTCACCACCTGCCCTCTTCCTGGCACTCTGCCTTGGGTCACAGTCACTCATGTCATGTTCTTACCTACCCTGGTGTATTGTAAGCATTGTCATGTGCCCTATATTGCCCAGCAGTAGGTCTGGGCAATAAGCAAAAGGGAGAGAGAGAGAGAGAGAGAGAGAGAGAGAGAGAAAGGGAGGGGGATATGTTGGCCTTGAACAGTGAGGAGGGTTTCACCTTGACCCTGTGCACAGGGGGTGCCATTGTGTGTTGCTGGTAAGAGAAGGGCCAGGAAGGAGCACTTTGAGGAGCAGGGTGGGGGTGGGGCCTGCTCATTGCCGCCTCCAAGGCAGCCCACTACCCAAGCCCCATCTTGTCCCTACCTTCCACAATCCAATGGCCCCTCACTGTCCTGTGTGGTGAGATACCAGAGCTAAGATGAGAATGACAGCTGCCCAGTTTTGCTGCAGGAAAATCCGTATTTAATGCTGAAGGGGAACCACCAAGAGATGGAAGGCAATGACCGCTACGAGGGCTTCTGCGTGGACATGCTCAAGGAGCTGGCGGAGATCCTCCGGTTCAACTACAAGATCCGCCTGGTCGGGGATGGTGTGTATGGTGTGCCGGAGGCCAACGGCACCTGGACAGGCATGGTCGGGGAGCTGATTGCTCGGGTAAGGAGAGGACATAACCTGCATGTGTGGATGGACTGGGAGGGTGGTGGAAAGGTGGAAAGTTGTGCTGTATGCTCATGAGACCTGTATTGACATGCTCCCTCATTCATGCCTTTTTCATTTATTTGTCCATTTATTCCACAAAACTTTAGAGAGCTGGCATGGAACCAGGCACTGGGGACGTGCTTTGATAAACAAGATCCCCATGATCCTTGCCCCATGGCTCTCCCAGCCCTGTCCTGGAATAAGTCATTGGCTTGGCTTAGACACATTAACATGGATGCAGAAGTGTAGCTTCTATTTTTGGATAATCCAGATGGTTTTTGTTTGTTCTGATGATTTTAATGCTCAGCACCACTACCCTGCCCCAGCAGAGCTTGGACAGGCCCTGGGAAAGTAGAACACACCGCCATCAGCTAACTTTGATACTTGAGAGATACTGTCAAGGCAGACATGATTAAATAACAGGGAAATGGATCAACTGTCAGAGGAGTTGGTCACAGTGATGGTTGTTTTGTTACTTCTTGTATCATCCTCTGCTATCACTAATGTCCTTTTATAGACCAAGGGCCAAAGTGCACTTGGATGTGCTGCAGATTTCCAGGGTGAATGTGGAGACTTGATTAAAATGCAGGTGAGCATCTTAGAATGTCAGTCTTCTGTCAGGTTAGAACAAAGGTGTGAAAAGTTCTTCCAGAGGGAATCTCTTGTTTTCTTTGTATACACTATTAACAACTGTAAAAAATTATTAAATCATTGCTAATTCACTACCCATGTTTCTACAACTGAGTTCCAATGATCAGGACAGGTAATGAAGACCCAGTGCGGAGAACACAGACTTGGTTCTTATTGTGACCTTGAACTAGCCCCCTTCTCTCTGTGCATTCAAGATCAGAGGGACTCCTGCAGCCTCCAAGCCTCCTGATGCACAAGATGCTTTCCAAGCACTGTCTCCAGTCCTCTGTAAATAAACTTTTTGGCTACTTGTTATCCCCACTTTACAAATGAGCAATCTGAAGCTCACAGAGTTTATGGCTTGTCCAGAGCCACACAGTTAATATGAGACCTGGCTGGGATTTATGCCCAAATCCTTATTTATTCAATCACAATCACGTGCTGCATAATGGCATTTAGGTCAGTGATCTGCATGTATGACAGTGGTCTTGTAGGTTACATCGCTTAGTGATGCTATTGCCATCTTATTTTATGTGTATACACTCTGTTTGCACCACAACAAAATTTCCTACCAACTCATTTCTCAGGATACATCCCCATGGTTAAGCAACCTATAACTGTAATGCTTTTAATCCCTTAAATGTACCAAACTTGGAATAGGAGATAACATTTTAAAATCCAGGTCTTAAAGGATACAAATATTAGTTGGGATTTTAAATAAGCAGTCTTTGACAATACACTCTGTATAGATGAGAGCTATAGGAGAGGCATTTGGGAGCTGAGGATGGAGGATGCTTCGGAGTTTTCCTGGTAGCTCATTGACATCTGCAGTGATACTGAGGGGTAAAATAGCAAGCCTTGTTCAGAGAATTGTAAAGTGCCTGGAGTGACTGGTGCCCAGAGGGAGCTGGGTCAGAGGTGAGGCCTGCTTGCAAAGGAGACTGGCAAATGCAGGGCTGATAGGTCAATGGAAGGCCTAGGGAGCCTGGGAAGAATCTGACAGAGGGTAGGGATGGGCATCAAAGCTGCAGCAGGGGCACCTTGCAGTCTTTGACACTGGAACCCACCTCATGGTGATGCATGTGCTTCTGCAAAAAGGACTTGATGCTTTTCTCTGCAGTCCCAGACCTTCTCCTGGAACATTCTTCCTGTTGGAATTCCATTGTGAAGGCTCAGCCCAGCAGCTAGCCACAGGAATACAAAATGCCAGGCTTTCCTTGCCTTCTCACCACTGGGTCACCTTGAGCCCGGTTCTTCAGCCCTCTCTGGCTGCCTGGTGCCTCGCAGGGTGACTTCAGGGATGGTAGAGTCAATGCACAGTCATGTCTTTATTAGCCCCCTAATGAGCTGTGACAGGGGCTGGCAGGAGAGGGAGAGGAGCCCAGGACTCAAGGACATGCAGTTACATACTGAGTGACTTGGGCAATCAGACAGGGATGTTAAAACTCACCCCAGCTCATCTTTCAAGCAAAAATACTGCTGCCTTGATCTCGATAAGACTTGGAGATAGGGTATTAATTAACTAATTAACCTATTAGTTCAATAACTATTTATTGAACATCATCTACTCTTGTAGACATTAAAGATAAATAGGAAAAAAATAAACATGCACATTATCTTCATGGCTCTTCCATCCTGGGAAGCATGACAGTAATGAATGATCATATTTACATACAATTTCAAACTACCGTGTGCAAGGGTACATAGTGCCGGAGTTACCAGAGCACAGAGGGAGAGGGTCCATTCTAGAGAGGTGAAGACAAGGGAGGAAGGCTTCCTTTGGGAGAAGGATATTTGGGCTGCTTTCTAAAAAGGGGGTAGGAGCTACCTGGACAAGAGGGGAGAGCCTGTCAGGCAGAAGCCTGAACAAATGCTACTGGGGTTGGCCCTGAGCAGGAATGGGAGATGCTGGGGGCCCATCTTCCCTCAGTAAAACTTTGATATCTGCCAAGATGTTTCCCTAGGACTATAGTAGTCCTGGGCCTCGATCCATCCTCTAGGACCCATTCTCTAGGCTGTGCCAGAAAATTCTAGCAGAGTAACAGCAGAGGGTCCCCCTGAGATAGTTGGGGCTACTGAATGTCCACAGTGGACAAGGCCTTAGAGCTCATCACATCTAAATTCTTCCCTTATGCAGATGAGGAAATGGATGGTCAGAGTGGCTAAGTGACCTGACACAGTTCACACAGGTAGCAAGTTCAGAGCCAGTCCTGGTCTGACTTGAGTAGTCATGATCTGAGAGAGCACAAATCCTGAGTTTTAATAGACCTAACCTAACACATTGACACATCCGCTTACTAGCTATGTGTTTTTAGGCAAGTTAATCTATCCTTTCTACCTGTCACCTCAAGGCTCCATTGTTCAACTGCAAATATTTTTTGTAGCAACTTAAAATGACATTTACACACACAACAGAGTATTTGGGTTCCAGAAAGTATAAGGATTGTCTTAAATTGGGCTCCCAGGAAAACAGATCAAGGTCAAAGGTTACACGCTAAGCCAGGGATTAGAATTCCAAGGACGGAGAAGTGAGAGGAGAATGACAGGCAAGGTGCAGAACACATAAGAGGCAGTGTGTTAGCATGCTGCCCCTAAAAGCTTTGTACCAAGCCAGCTGATTGTTCCATCTGCAAAGGCCCAGTGAAACTGTCTGCTTACCCAGCCATCCACAGTAGGGAGGGAGACTAGCATCTGTGAGTCCATCTTTAAGTGGCTGAATTTCATGCTGCAAGACATCACTTGCCCACACTTCTGGGCAGTGCAACAGGACCCTCTGGTACCTTCCAAGAAAGTAGGTCCAAGGCAACAAAGACAGGGCTTGAAGTGCAAGGCTGATCATGTAAGCAGATCCAGTGGGTAGGTGTGACCCCACCCATGACCCCTAGCCAGCCTGCAGCTGGGCAAGCCCAGGCAGGCAGGTGATCCAGAGTCCTGGATATGCTCACACCTCAGTAGAAGTGATGTAAGGCAATATGAAGGGTTAGCAAGAACAGATACAGTGGGCCAGGCCAGCTACAAAGGTGGAGTGCTATAATAACTGACATCAGCCACCAAGGCAGTGACAGAGCCTGCTGAGCCTCCCTGCAGTGAGGATGGAGTCTTTCCTTTGTGGATCAGAGGAAAGCAGCTGGGGCTGAGCCATCTTCCCAGGGAATCACTTGGACTCTTGAGAGGAAATCCTCATGGCCGAGCAAACCCAGGAATGAGAATAAGCTGCCATGGCCCACGAGTGACTATTATTAGGCCCTTTCAGGAACATCAGGCTATTCTCAGTGCCCCTCTTCTTCTTTGTTCTGCTGCAAAGAATTAAATGAAGTCAACAGCTATCAGCAGCTGAGAGTGAAAACCACTGTTTGCATTGCACTGGAGCAAACCTGAGCTGTCTTCTTAGGGGCCTAGGAGCCAGAGCCAGTGTCTCTGGGCCAGGGACTCCAGAGTCATCCTGCAGGCACAGGTGGCGCTACTTGGGGGCTTCACTCAGGCAGCACGTGTGGAACTTGCGGAGTGGAGAGGATGTGCCAGTGTGTGCATGTACCGGGCTCCCCCAGGTCCTCTGGACTAAGAGCCAGGGCAGTGCAGCTAAGACTGCAGCATCAGGGATTTGAGCTTGATATCAAGGAGAATAACCAACAAGGTGCTTGGGGCTGACCACCAAATCTTTGTCTTTGGAGAGTTTCAAGGAAATAGCAGCTGCTTGTATGTCCAAGTAATATGAAGTAAAGAGAGACACGGGGTTGTCTTAGGTGAAAGACCTGAGTCTCAGCCTGTTATCATCCGCACGCCATAGTGGTGTGCAGGGACACATTGCATAGGAGTTCTGGAAGAGCATTCAAGCCTGTTCTCCACATGTATATGAACATGATCAGAGAGCATACCTTTTGGTGTAAATCACATTCCCATTAAAGGGAGGAGTGTGATTGGAGCCAAAGAAAGAGAACTCATATAAAAGGGGCCAGGTGGATACCCACCCCTTCCTGGGCTGTGTCTGAGTAAGGGAGGTGAGAAGGATGGCTGTATGGGAGGCTCTCAGATTTGGATTCATTTTGTTTTGGTCACAGTGAGTTCTGCTTGGGAGAAAGGATAGCACATCCAGGAAATAGAGCCCCCATCTAGCTTCACAATTCAGAACAAAGTGCCCTGTTGACATTCAACTCCATGTTGGTAGAATAGCACATTTAGCCTCAAAGAGAAAAGGGCTTTGGAAGGCTTAGATTCAAGGCTCATAAGCCGTGGACATCAAATAGCTTTTACCAATGACATTTTGATGAATTAAGTGTAAATGAAGCTGAAATGCTTCATTCCATTTCCCCTCCTGGGGAGGGAAT